CGGGTTTCGACCTTGACAACTCTTTTAAAAGGAAGGGTTTCTAAAAGAGAGAGTCGCCACCTAATGGATTAAGGTGCGTTAGGGCACCTATTGCAAATGACTCGGGTTTACTAGTTTGCGTCACCAAAGATAGGGCAAGGGCTCAAATTACCTAGAGGAGAAGGTGTTAGGCACTCCTCGAGGTCCACAACGGTGGGTCCCGGCCGAACTCAAATCATGTGAATTAGTCTAAGAGAAAAACAATAATTGACAAATGAAATAAATGATTTATTTTAAAACATAAATAGGGGGGTCCTAAGTTTGTTAGCCTAAAGGATCACCCCGTGCAACATAAATAATACTTCATAAATCCCTCAAGACGGAGCGTTACTCATTTTATTCAGCGGGTACAGACTATCATCTCCTGCTAACCGATTACTATCTTTAAGTTGTTTACCTAAAGCGCTCTAGTCAATTCTAAGTCGTACTCTATGCGTGCACTACCCGTCTCATGCCTAGGGTCCATGAGGCATTTGGACCTCTATTTCAGGGTGGTTATAGACCTTAACTTAGGTTGCTCAAAATGAGAAAACTAGGCGACATACAAAAACAGTTAGGACTTTCAAATAGAAACAAGTATGGGCTCAAGTTACCCTCCGCATTTAGACATTAAATGCATGCCAAATTGATTAGCATTGACAATTGCAGATTTTAATAAGTTAAGGTTGCAGAACCCTATAGGCAGGATCACTATGTGACACTGAATTTAATGAGCAAACATTTTATACATAAAAGCCTTTTCTCTTAATACAATTTCTAAAACCGACATAATTGTCTACTGATTGCAGGTATAAGGGATTAAAACCTATAGGCATGATGTCTAGGTGATTCACGCAGTAACTAACAATGGTAATCATAGGAATATGTTCAAAATTGCTTAATCGAGTCCTATAGGCATGGTTTCTAGAATGGTAACTAGCACAGTGTTGAAAACTCTTAATGAAATAAGCAGGCCAATAATTAAAATGGATTCAGACTCTATAGTCATGATTTCTAGAATTAAAACTGATTTTATATCCTATAGGCATGATTTCTATAATTAAAAACTGATTTTAGATCCTATAGGCATGGCATCTAATTTGTAGATTAAACCATAGGTAAACAGAATCCTATGAACACATTGAGATATTAATCATTCAATATCCTATAAGCATGGTTTCTAATAGGTAAACGCAGAACACATTTGAACCAAATAAAGAACCTATAGGCAGGATTTCTAACACACATTTGAGCAAAGTAATGAACCTATAGGCAGGATTTCTACCCATTTCAATACAAGTGTAAGATAAAACCCCTTTCCCAATTTCACTAATACCCCAAAATGCTATTACAAGAATTATTACAGACCAGAATGAATGGAATAAATTACAAAGTAGAATAACTATAGGGAGCCTACAGCAGGCCCAAAGATATACACAGTCAAACCAAGCCTTCATTCTCATGGCTCATAACAGCCCAAAATTACATCTTCATGGACATAAGGCAGCCAGGAATTAAGTGATTCACCCAGTGGGCATAAAAAGAGTTGAGCATATAGAACCAAGACCCTAGTGTATTAGAGTTCCCAAGGGCTTCAATAACCCAGGGCAGTGCTCACACTAGGGAGGTTAACAGAGATAATTCAGAGGAGAGACTAGTGACCAAGTCCTAGTATGTCAGAGTTCACAAGGGTCTCAAATGAACCCTGAGCAGTGCTCATACTAGGGAGGTCAAAGGACAGAACCTACGTAGCCTTGGCTTTCAGCCGGCTAAGAATGGGATTCAAAGAGCTTAGGTGACAAGTGAAAGAAGGGACCAAAGTTGAGAAATAGGAATTGAGGGATTTAAACAGACACGGCCATATTGAGCAAACAAAGCAAACAGTTGAATAAATCACAGAACTTTAAAAAAGCAAGCTGAATGTAAACTGAGAAATAGGTCCCACACTTAGCGCATAAGCAGTCATATGCTGAAAAAAAGTTGAGAAAAGAACATGTTTGCAGGATTGACAAAGATTGTTGTACACAGGTGCAAAACATGTTGAAACATGGTTGAATTATACTAAGTACACAACCTTGTATTATTACCAAGAAAACAGGACAGCATTGTGATGAGTCAAATAATCATAGAAAGAGCAGGGCATCATGTTTGCACAGGGGTGAGATTACAATCACAAATTAAGACACATATGCAAAACTATTACTACAGAGTGGAAGGTAAAATCATGTCAAGTAGCAGATATAGGCATTCAAGCTTTGTCATAGTGGTCTAATTAGCTAAAGATGATCCGATTATAACAAAGGTTTAGCCTAACATTGCAAAGTAACAATTCAAGCATGATGAGACAACTATTCCAAATCACAAGCGTTTCCAGAGGGGTATGGGGCCGAGTGATCATGTTGAGTGACACAATAGCAGAGAGGCAGATTATGACTAACAATGAAGGTCTTAACATAGGCTAACACAAATGTGAGGCATCCACTACAAGGATTGAGAAAAAGTAAGTAAACATGTTCATGAGCATTCAGGAGTCAATTCACTAACTGAATAAACCTTAAGAAGGTTCAGATTAATCAAGCTAGGAGTAGATAACTTCAGAACTGGTAGCATTAAGAGCAGTTAAATGCTAAAGAGACTAAAAGCATATAAAGTTGACAGAACGATGCCTAAACATAACTCAGAAGCATCTTGAACCATGGATTCAGAAGTAAGAACACATACAAATCAGAGGCACGTAAGGATGAAATTGCAAAAGTCAAGTGACTTACCAGTTAAGCGAAAATGCATAAAATAACAGAAGTCCACAATATTCTGAATAGCAAGATCTCAGAACTAAATGGCCTTGGCTTTCAGCCGGCCAAAATCAGAGTATAGAATGCAATATCAGAGTAAAGCTTTAGATCTAGTGAGGCTATAGTGAGTCAAAAAGTGTCATCTAAAAGGAAAAGGGGAAGGGTTTATATAGTGTAGAAATCGAACACATAGACATGGAAAACAAATTATTTAGATGCAAACAAGATAGAAAGAAAATATTCCGGAATCAATTAGAAACGATTTTAGAGCATAAATTAGAGATTCAGTAAATCAACAGGGAAACACACAAATAATACCAAAAATACCAAAATCGTTCAGAGTCATATTTAAGGCAAAGAATAAAGTAAAAAATAGGGAAAGATAAGGAAAAAGAGTAGTCAAACACAGAAAAGGAAAAATATCAAGTAACAATCGGTAAGAAACAAAGGGGAATTCAAACCCTAGTTGGCAGAAATCGCAAATTGGCCGAAATCTCGGCTAATCGGAACCATATAGCCATCATTGTGAAGCATATGGATGAGATACATGTCCATATTCAAGTAGTCAAGAGGAAATGGTCGAAATCTAAGGTGTAGTACTTGCCATGTTTAGGCAAGTACTAAGAGGTAACATAGAATCGTAGGAGATGGTGGTTTAATACACAAAAGGTAAGAAAATCATGGAAAAATCCATGATTGAGGCAGATTCGGAGAGGTTTTTTGAGAGGCGGCGGGTTAGGGTTTTCATAGAGGAGAGAATAGAGAGGCGGCAGGTTTGGAGGGAATGGGGTTAGGGTTTAGGGTTAAGTGATATAAGGAAAGGGGGGAGTCGTTTGTGAGTCGTTGATCATTTTTTATCAACGGCTGGTATTTGAGAAGGGGTTGGGTCGTTTAGGATTGGGCTGGGGTTATTGAGCCAAGGTCCGGGTAGTCAGGTTCGAAATTAGGAGGAATTTAGGGCTAGATTTTAAATATCCAATTTTAATCAAATAAATAATTTATAAAAGTAATAAATAAATAAAAAAAATATTATTTGTGCATGCAAATGATTAAAAACAATTATTTAATATTATAAAAATATAAAAAATTATTTTTTGTATAAATAATGTAATTATATGTACATATGGGCTATTATTGCAAAATGTGCAATTTAGCCCTAAAAATGCTAATGTAATTATACGAAATGCAATGAAAATATTTAAAACCTCATATTAGTATAAATGATAAGTTTGGATGATTAATCATTATAAAAATAATTAGGAGGGTAATTATTGGATATTTATATAATAAAATACAGAAATAAATTGATTTAAAGTCTTTAAAAATCATGGAAGATTATGAAAAATACTTGTGTATGCTTGTAAATCGAATGATGATGCATATGTACTATTTTGAAAGTATATATATACATATATATATAGGGAAAATATGAGGAAAAAATTGGGTATCAACACTTATCACCTACTAATCTGTGCAGTCTTGCAAAAAATATGAATATCTCTCTACTCCAAAATCGTATCAATGAACGGTTTAATGCTTTAGAAACTAGACTCGTAGATCTTCAATTTTGTAGGTGGATCATCCCGTAATGCCAAGTATATTGGGAGAAGAACTCAGCTACATTAGACCTAAATTTCAGCACATTTCTGAATATAACTTGTTATGACCTTTGCCAACTTTTATTTCACAACTCACTTGACATCAAAACATAAAACACGACTATCATACGACTAAACTAACTCATAACATAACCTCCTTATCATGTTAAGAACCTTAATCTCACCCCCAAAATTACATGTTATAATATTCCCAACTTGTCGACTTTCGATGAAACTTATTTTCTTCAATTCGTTTAGCTTCTAAGCCTTCCAACCATCTTGGTACTTGTTATTCATAATCTTAAATATTTGTAACCTCTACGGTAACATGACCAACTTAATTTATGTACTTCTAAAGATGATCTGATATTCGAGCTTACATCAATTGACTTACGACGTACTTTTATGTACGAAATCATGGGGTGTAACATCATTCCCCTTTTGGAACATTCGTCCTCGAATGTTGGCTGATGCTCTTATCAGTCTCATAACCTACAGCTCTTATGAATACTTTAATACTGGTTGTTCCATCTAAGCAACTGTTCTGTGAATAAATCTAAAAGCCAAGGCATTCCCCCCTTTAGGCCTCTTTCTCAAAACACGAACTGTGGCCAGAATTCTTCCAATCTCATAATTGTTGCTACCTTCTGTCATGTAGCCTGTACGACCCTGCCCTTGTATGCACGCCTACGCGACTCTTCTTTTTTCTCCAGCTTCAGTCTCTGGGCCTCACTTTGCAAAACATATAGAGAACTATGACAAGTTGTTCCTCTGGGCATCTATAGGTATACTGAAGTTCTTCGCTTGGTACTTTGTCGAACTTACGACTATTGCTATATTTTGTTTTCATGGCCTCGGTTATCTATCCTTATGGCTTTACTGTATCTAGATATTCATACTATACGATAACACTTACTCCGGTTTATTATTAGTGAGGTCTACTACCCAACTCCAGGTTACACTCTCGATGCTTATCCTATATGTATAAATCTAAGTCCTTTAATTCTTTCTCATTACAGTTCATCTTAAGAATGGCAACATAATCTCATCTCATACTTTAGAACTTTTATCCATATATTGTTGATTCATCTTAATGTTGACTATTATCCACCAGTAATAACTTGAATCTTCTTCCGTAATACATTTTAACTAGGGCTCACGTCTCGTCGGCTAACATCTGAAGTTATTTGCTTGATCCACCTTAGGGATGAAACTATACTTCAATAACTGTATTTCATAGCATCTCAATGTGATTCATCTTATGGGAGGTATTCTAATCCCGTGCAATTCATAAAATCCCTTATGATTGAATCATTACTTCAATCAAAAGCTATATTCCTAAACATCATCATCTTATCGTTTATCACACTCACACTCCTATTTTACTACAAGGGCAACATTCCATCTCTTCTAAATGCTCCTAGTCTTAAACTCCTTCGAGTTCATTCAGGTTATACTGAGCTTTCTATAACTTACGAAAACCATCAGCTCTCTTATTTTGATGGGCTTAATCCCGATGCCTTACCTATTCATGTCACCTCCTCACTCACCTTTTCTTATCCTTACTTCTGTCTACCTAGAAATTTTTTATTCTACCATACTTTAGCCTGCGACCTACAAGTATCTATTCGTACTACTCACAACCTTTATTTAACATGCTAGCACCATAGATTTTTTTATGTTATTCTGGAACCTCAAACGAGACATCACGTTTCCTCTAATTCTTCTTTGATCTCGTAACTAGAGCTCTTGATACCTAGAAATCATAGGTTGGAAGATGTGCTACTGACGACACCACTATCATTTCTAGATACTGAATCACGACTCTTCTAGCCCTCTATATGAAACATTAACTATTCAGAACCTTTTATACTTAAGTATCTCGTACCTCTTTACTTTTACCTTACTTACTTTCAAATCTCGAATCGTATCTTCTGTCGCTTTCATAACTTCCCTTCCACATAGGTGGAATTTATATCCACACCTTCAAGCTCTACTATAATACTTGCACCTCTGGTGCATACACAATCTGGTGGGAGCTTCATACTATCGGAGATCTGTTTGTAGTCAATTTTTTACTTCTCCAAAGGAACAAGTAACCCTTTCAACCAAACAACATACTTATTCGAACATTTCAAAAGATTAACATCATTTGAAGTTTCAATCGTAATGTTATATTTACCAACAGCGACAATAGGCTCTGTCGTTGATGGTCTAGCCTCTGCACCTTGTAAAACTGGAAGCTCCGGAAAGGACAAGGGCTCAGGAATGATATCTCCATCTATTTTAGTAAAAAGGCCTTGACCGAGCCAATCATCAAAATCGACTTGTACAAGAAATTCCGTTCCAGTCCCCGAAACTATTTTATCTACATGTACCCCAGCCGGAGACTCTCTCTTATCACTCTCATCAACAATAATGGGATTGTCCTTTGACACGTCCCTAAGGAAACTGAATAGCCTGGGAATCAACTCAGGAAATGTTTCGATCCGGTCATTCTCTTCCTTAGAGGACTACTAACATTACCTCCTACAAATACCATTTGACTCATTGGAGCAGCAAGCCTCTAGATTTGTTCTTGAGCTCCATCATCATTCTTCGGTATCTCAATTAAGCTCAGGCAACTGTTCTTTGAGCCAAAGACCTACAACCGAGGAAAGATGATGAGAAATTTATGAATAAGTAAAGCAAGCAAAAAAATCAAGCTGGAAACTCACCGTGATGCTTTTTCATCCATCCATATATTTTAGAAATGTACTTCCAAGTCCTCAAGTATTGTTTGAAGATGCTAAAATTTTATCCATACACTCCCTAAGATCATAGATTTCACCACACAATTCCTGGAGCTGCAATCCAAAAAGTGCAAGATGAAATAAGAACTACTATTTTGGAAAATAAAAAATTACATAGGTAAGAAAAATGCTTACGTTTGTCGTTCTCTCTCTCCAACAACAAATCGTCTCCGAGAACTAGATCACATGAAGGGACAATCAGAAATTTAAAGTACCATTATCTGTCGTGATCATTCCGATAGCATACTTTTCACAGTTGCAAAGAGTGAAAATACCACAATAGAAAAGCTTTTTGGACTAGAGGTTGAGAAGACATTGAAGCAAAAAATCAACCTCAGCCAAAATTATCAAATACCGTAGACATGCTATGAGCCTTAAAATGCTCGGACCTACTTGAGTCAAACAAATTTGAAGTGCTTACAAAAATACAAAATAATAGAGTCAATTACCGAAAACCCAAGAGTGAAAGGGTATGTGTACCTGAAACAAAAAATAGTTGAATAACTGGTAATTCGGTCATTATGCTGAGGTATTTAGATGTAAATGTTGGGGTTCCAATGAGACTCATCTCGAACGAGAGGGATATGTTCCGCTGAATGATAGAGGAAAAGTTATCCACATGTGTATTGTGGTTTCAAGTTTGGCTACGATTTTATTCCATGTATTGCAATATTCAGCGATATTAAGATATTTTGGCAGTATCTCTATGGCCAAAGGTTCAAAAAGGTCTTCATATTTGACCTTTTTCCCCTTAGAAGTTTTTTGGATCTCTTCTCCTACCTCATTATTAAAGGGGTTAACTCCGCCGAAGCTCATCCGAAATAGTAGTACGTCTTACATTGAAGACAGGGCTAAGAAATAAAAAAGCATAGAAAGAACAAAATTTTATAGATCCATAATTTTCAGTAGGAAAATTGCAGAAATAGTTCTTAGAGTTGGCGAAAACTGTCAAGGAATAAAGTACATTAAGAAATTGAAAGGTAAGAAAAAGAGAGAAAAGATTTCATATTTATATATATATGAACCCGACCTTTCAGAATCATCTTCATCAAGTCGGCAAATTCGAAAACATCACTAGGAAATCACAGTATCATCATTACCTTGGAAATCACTGTAAGCATCAAACGAGTCATAAACTGCCACGTGTTTCAAATACTAAATGAAAATTTCACGCATTACTTTAATCACAGTGCATGTCGCTTCAAATTCAGGATGCAAAAATCGGATAAGATCTTATCTCCTGCCAATTAAGAATCTTAATCATGATCTTCTTCCCGTCAAAACTTCTTCTACTTCTCGAAAATTCCTCGAACAATATCTGAAAAGTGGAAAGACTATCTGTATTGGTAAAGATAGACTTAACACGTGTATTATCCAGAAATAGACATGTGACAAGGATTATCCAATCAACTTATATAATAGTCAGAATGTAAATCGGAAAGTCAAAAAAATAGAACATTGATAGAAGACTCCTCGGAAGGTCAAGTCGAAGTATTCAGAAAGGAAGTCAAATATCCGAAGAATTTTTAAGTAATTAAAGAGTTCACGGATAAAAAGGGAAGCTATTGAGTATTGAGATTTTGATGATTAATAAAATTTGTTCAGAAGAAATACTTTAAGAACCAGGTCCTCAACGTTGCTACTTAACTGCTCTAAGAACCAGCTCCTCAAGGTTTATGATTGCACGTGCTTGCAAGATAGTAACTTTATCTCAAAGTTACCCAAGTCCGAGTTTGTTGGAAGAGGACTGCTAAACATGATAAGGGTTGTTGCCCAAAAAGATACATTTGCATCAGCGAGAGACAAGAGTCCCAAGAATTGTGGAGTCCTTGGAGCAGTAGGAGCCCTATCAAACGAGAACGTGACTACGCATAGGACCCCTAAAAGATCTCGGAGTCTATGGAATTTAAATACTATCTTTTTGGACTACTGAGATCATCCTTTTGCACATCAACTGAAGAACTACATTTTCTATACTCAAGTCGAGTACCAGTGTTGTGTTCTTCTTGAGTCAGTCTAGTAAATGTGTTTTAGAAAATCGAGTTGTAATCAAAATATCATATACAATCAGTGAGTTGGAGTGAGTATTTGATTTTGCAAGTTAGAGTAACTTGTAAGTAAAATAGTTGAAGTAGAAGAACTAGAGAGTATTTAGTTACAGATTTATAATCGATACATTTGGCTCATTGTTCTAGTGAAGTTGAAGCTAAAATCCTGCGTGGTAGATCGTGGTATTCGCACCTTTTGAGCCAGGAAATTTTTCATGTAAAAATTATTGTGTTTATTTTACTGCTTATTTTTCTTTACACTTAAGGAGTAAGGTAACGAACCAAGTTCTTTAGTATTCCATAAAACCATTCAAATTAATAATTGGTATCAAAGCAAGGTTCTCTCACACACGGTTAACACCTAGAGAGATCTTGGAAGCAAAATGAGTGTTCCACCTGGAATTAACGAAGGATAGTCAACTACCAGACCACCCCTATTTAATGGAAAATACTACAGTTGGTGGAAAGCAATAATGGAAGATTTCCTGACGGCTGAAGACTATGAACTATGGAATATAATGAACCAAGTTCCACTAACTCCTACTAAATAAAATGGGAGAAATTGTTCCCAAAGACCCCTCTGAATTTGTAGCATCGGATTTCAAAATGATGGAGAATAATGCAAAGGCTAAGAAAATCCTTATCTGTGAACTTGGTCATGATGAGTACAATAGGATATCAGCTTTCTCTGATGCAAGGGAGATCTGGGATGCACTTCAAGCTGCTCATGAAGGAACAAACCAAGTGAAGAAATCAAGGATCGAATTTCTTATGAGAAACTATGAGTTCTTCTCCATGAAGGAGTTTGAGCCCATCTAGGAGATGATGACTAGGTTTACTATAATAACAAATGAACTGAAATCACTTAGAAAGGTGTTCACTTTAGAAGAATTAATTAGCAAAGCTCTAAGGATTCTTCCAACTTTATGGGAATCAAAAGTCACAGCTATTCAGGAAGCAAAGGAGCTGGATAAGATCTCACTTGATGAGTTGGTTGGAAACTTAAAGACTCATGAGATGAGAAAGATAGAATTATGCAAGGAAGAACAGAGGAGGGATAAGGCCTTGGTTCTTATAGCATCTGAAGAAGATGAATCTGACAGTGATGATCCAGACCTAGTAATGTTTGCTAAGTTCAAGAAGTTCATGAAGAATTCCAAAAATACATCTAAGAGAGTGGTAAGCCGAAGCAGATCGACAAAGCCACTTATTATAAGTGTAACAAGCTAGACCATATGATCAAAGACTGCCCAATGTGGGAAATTGAGTGTAAGAAAGAAAGAGCTGAAAAAGAGAAACAGGAAAAACTGAGAGAGACGTGTCCAAACAAAGGAAAAATCCTAGGCAAAGGATTCACTGAAGCAATGAAGTAGCTTTTCTAGCAGCATATGAGGGCAATGGAAGTGAGAAAGAGGAATAGAAAGAGGATGAGGCCATAAGTCTCTATGTTGTAATTGATGCACATCAGACAGTGGAGACTGAACCTCCTGTACAGCTTGGAATGCACATTGGAAGACCTCCTCTATTTGATGGACATCACTATGATGAATGGAAGATGCGTATGGAAACTCTCCTTAAGGACACTAACTTTGATCTATGGCTAATTATCAGTCATGGACCAATCATCCTCACCAAAGTGAATAGTGAAGGAAACAAATGTAACAAGAGAGAAGAGGATTATGATGATGAGGATCGTCAAGTAATCCAATAAAATGCCAAAGCAAAGGACCTGCTCTAAAGAAGTTTTCCCAGAAAGTTCTCTACAAGGTGTCCTCTTGCATTTCTGTTCATGATATATGGAGGACCTTGGAGGCTGATTTTGGAGATGAAAACATTAATGTGCCGCTGATGGCAATTGAAGAAAGCCAAACAGAAGAAGAAGTGATAGGGATGATGTCCATGAGTGATTCAGAAACTGAAGATGAAACAAATCAGGTGAGTATCTCTAACCTGAAAGAAAATATTCATGCTTTGTCTAAAAAATAGTTGATGGCCATAATTGTGACCATTATGAGTGAGATGGACAAGATGAGTGCTGGAAATGATTAGTTAATAAGCAACCTTTCATGTGTTAAATTAAAGAACTTGAAACTAACAAGACTGATCCTGAAGGATAGGTCAAGACCTTAAGAACCAAGTTCTTGGTAAAGAAAAAATGAGTGATTTGCAAGATAAGCTTGAAAGGAACTAAAAAAGATTAAAGATAATCTTTGTGATGCTGAATGTAGGAATAAAGTATTGCAAGAAAATCTAGAAAAACCTAAATATGAACTATCTAGGCTAAGCAAGTGGCATATATCCTCAGATGCATTAATTGGTTGAATGAAAACTGCAGCATTAACAAATCAGGAATTGGCTATAGAAAACCTGTTCCCAAATTTGATCCAAAGTATGTAGGAATTTCTGATAACAAATTGTGCACTCATTGTGAAAAGGTAGGACACTTTAGATATACTTGCCTTGCCTTAATTCATGCCCAGTTTAAGAACACTTTTGGTCGTGCTAAAAATGTGAAGAAGGGAGAAGAACCAAAAGTCAAGCCTTTTTTCCAAACTAAGTAGATTAATGTCAACAAGAAAACAACTATTAATCATCTTCCCTTCTGGCCAAGAAGAGATCTGATTCATCTTTTTTCAAATAAAAAGGGACCCAAACTTGTCTGGGTTCCCAAGACAAATTTGTGATTTCTGGTGCAGGCTAAAGTGAGAGGAAATAAATAAGACTGGTATCTCGACGGTGGATGCTCAAGACATATGACTAAAGAAAAGAAAAACTTCCTCTCACTGGTAGCCTTCCAAGGAGGGAGTGTGTCATTTGGATATTGGGAAAAGGGACAGATAACAAGTATTGGTAAGGTTGGTAAGTCACTCTCTCATGCTATAGAAGATGCGTATTATGTAGTAGGTCTTAAACATAATCTTCTTAGCATTTCTCAAATGTGTGATAAAGAAAATGAGGTAAAATTCAATTCAAAAATCTGCACTGTCACTGAGCTTGATACTAATGAAATTGTGTTAAAAGGTAAGAGACACAACAATGTCTACAAGATATCTATTATATCTCTTCCTCAGAGTGAGCACATATGCTTGAAGTGTAGTGGAAGATGACCCACTGTTATGGCATAGAATACAGGAACATGCTAAACTATCTCAACTCCGCAAGTTGGCAACAAAAGACCTAGTCCTTGGACTACCAAAAGTTGAGTTCACCTCAGACAAGGCATGTGATATTTGTGTCAAAGGGAAACATGTGATATCATCATTCAAATCTCAAAAGGTTGTCAGTACCTCCAAACCCCTGGAACTCCTTCACATGGACCTATGTGGACCAATGAGGGTGAGGAGCAGGGGAGGCAAGAGGTATGTCTTTGTCATTGTAGATGACTTTTTTAGGTATACATGGACCCTGTTTCTAGCATATAAAGATGAAACTTTTGATGTTTTCTATGTGTTTGTCAGAATGATCCAACAGAAACTGGGATGTGATGTTTTTAGTATAAGAACAGACTATGAAATTGAGTTTGAAAATTCTAAATTCCTTGAGTTCTGTAGCACACATGGTATTGATCATAACTTCTCAGCACCTAGAACTCCACAACAAAATAGTGTTGTGGAAAGAAAGAATAGATCCCTAGAAAACATGGGGAGGACCATGTTGATTGCCAGTGGACTTCCTAAGAGCTTCTGGGATGAGGCAGTCAATACTGCTTGTTACTTGTTAAACAGATGTATGGTCAAACTCATTCTTGAGAAAACTCCCTATGAGTTGCTTCGAGGGAGAAAGCCCAACATCACTCACCTAAGAGCTTTTGGGTGTAAATGTTTTATGCACAATAATGGCAAAGAAGCTCTAGGTAAGTTTGATGACAGAAGTGATGAGGGAATTTTCTTGGGCTACTCACCACATAGTAAAGCTTACAAAGTCTTTAATAAAAGAACTATGTGTGTAAAAGAAAATGTTCATGTTATTTTTGATGAATCTAATAACATGGCTGAGAAAGGTCTGCAGGATGAAGACTATGACATATGACTCACTGATGAAGGATCTTCTAAAGAACCTGAACATCAATCTGAAGATGGATTAGGAGATCCTAAGGAAGTTGAAAGTGATCAAGAGGAATAAGAAGAAGAGAGAACTACTCTGATTGCTAACCAGACTAATGAAGTTGTACCTATTGACATTGTTCCTTTGGGTCACTCCTTGGGTGAACCATCTCTATATATGCAGATTATACCATGGAAACATCATAGTTCACACCCCCTTGAGAACATCATCTCTGATCCTAATGCTAGAGTGCAAACCAGATCATCTCTGAGAAATTTATGTGCACTTACAGCATTCCTCTCATAGGTTGAACCTAAGAATATAAAGGAAGCTCTAAAGGGTCCAGATTGGATTGTAGCCATTCAAGAGGAGCTAAATCAGTTTGAAAGAAGCAAGGTCGGGCACTTGGTGCAAAGACCCAAAAACAGAACTCTCATAGGTACCAGATGGGTGTTCAGAAACAAGCTGGATAAGAAAGGAAATATCACAAGGAACAAGGCCAGACTTGTAGTTCAGGGATACAATCAAGAAGAAGGAATTGACTATGATGAGACATTTGCACTTGTAGCCAGAATGGAAGCGACAAGAATGTTAATAGCTTTTGGTGCACACATGGAGTTCACCCTGTATCAAATGGATGTAAAGAGTGCATTTTTAAATGGTTACCTGAAGGAGGAAGGGTTTAAGAGTGAAGAATTTCCTGACTATGTGTTCAAGTTAGACAAAGCCCTGTATGGACTGAAACAGGCTCCAAGAGCTTGGTATGAAAGACTCTAAAAATTCCTCTTAACCAATAAGTTTGTAAGAGGAAAGGTGGACATCACATTGTTTCTAAGGAGTAAAGGCAAAAATGTTCTGATTGTACAAGTATATGTAGATGATATTATCTTTGGGGCTACTAATGAAGCAATGTGCAAGGAATTTGCTGAGATGATGGGGAATGAATTTGAAATGAGCATGATGGGTGAATTGAACTTCTTCTTGGGGTTGCAAATCAAGCAAAAACCTACTGGAACCATGATACATCACGGAACTACTGAAAATATTTAACATGGACTCTTATAAGTCCATAGACACTCCCATTGCTATTGCAACAAAGCTGGATCTTGATGAAGAAGGGAAAAGTGTTTAACATAAGCTATATAGAGGAATGAATGGGTCATTGTTGTATCTCACATCAAGCAGGCCTGATATTGTATTCAGTGTGGGATTGTGTGCAAGATTTCAGGTAAATCCCAAAGAGTCTCATCTGAAGGCTGTCAAGAGGATACTCATATATCTTAAAGGGACTTCTGATCTGTGTATGTGGTATCCTAGAGGATATAGCTTTGATCTAGTTGGTTATGCTGATACTGACTATGCAGGTTTTCATATTGACAGGAAAAGCACTTCAGGAATATCACACTTTCTTGGTTCTTGCTTGGTGTCTTGGGGAACAAAGAAGCAAAACTCAATGGCTTTGTCTACAGCTGAAGCAGAATATGTGACAGCAGCATCTTGATGTGCTCAGTTGTTGTGGATAAGACAACAACTAAAGGACTATGATATTTTTTGTTGATTGTGTTCCCATATTATGTGATAATACTAGTGCCATAAACATTGCTAAAAATCCCTGTCAATATAAGAGAACCAAGCACATTGACATCATACATCACTTTCTCAGAGACAATGTTGAAAAGGGAAATATCTCAATTAACTTATGTAAAACTGAAGACCAAATTGCTGATATTTTTACTAAAGCTCTAAATAGGGATCACTTTGAAAGAAATAGACTGGAACTAGGTCTAATTAATACTTCCAACTAGGTTGAACCCCAATGATTGGCTAGAAAATTTATAATTAGATGTAGATGGTTGAGTATAATGTGTTTGATCCAGTCTCGTGCTTATTTTGAGCGCACACACTCGCCCAAAAAATTCTAGTTGATAAATATGTCTTATGATACTAATCTATAGTGCTAAATCTTTATTGCAGAAATGAGTAAGGAGTTGCTAAAAAGTTAGTTCTTTGACTCAGGTACGTGTTATCTTGTCTTAATTCATTGGAGCTTAATATCTAAAATTACTGTTGTACTCAGACTCTCTAATCATGTTAGCATCACTCCTAGTTGTCATCTATTCAAAGCTTAAGGGGGAATCCTAGAGCAATTAGAGTCTAATTACTCCTAGAATTCTAATAGTCAAAAGTAATCGTTATTAGAGTCCCGTTAGAACTCAAATTCGGTTACTCTATTTCTTCCAATCAAATCAGGAGTGTCCTCTTTAAAAGCCCCCTTGTGATCCGTTTCTCAAACCTCATTGTTCCTCTCAAACCCTAAGCAAGAATCAAGAAATATTTCTATCATTCCTTCTTCAATTTCATTCTCTCATCACCATGCCTAAATCCTGCCAAACTCCCTCTACAGCAAAATCATCATCCAAGACTGAAGCCAAACCCAAGAACATAAAGCCCAAATCAAAGAAAAGTGTAAAATCAATAAATGAACATGCACCCACACTTGTTCCTTCTCCACCTATACCCTCTGTTGTACCTGCACCATCGTCCCATGTTCCCGTTGCACCCACTATTTCCACCTCTACTGGACCTTCACTCCCAAAACCACCTTCCTATGCACTTGTGTCTGCTTCGAAAAATACCTCTATGCCCACTAAGATCAAGGCTACATCAAGAAAATTTGTCAAGAGTAACAAGGTGGTGATTGATGCAGCTGCTAAGAAGGACACAGTGGTTAAGGAAGTTGTGGCTCAGGGGGAATCGGTGTCAACTACTACAGATCAGGTAAAATTACCTCCATCAAAGTTAGATGTTCTGGTTTCTGCTATTGAAGTTACACCCTTAGATATTTTTCCACACATAAGTGACAAACCACTAGTAGAGGAACCTACTGTAGAAATAGACACAACTCAGGAGAAAATGGTAGATACCACAAATGTTATACCTATGGTTGAGGGGAAGGTGAGAAAGAACCAGTGAATAAAAAGGCTTCTAATGGTCTCTCTTTTAGTTAGACTGAGGATGAGGATGATCATGGAGGTGGGGAATAAGGAGGAGTGGTGGCTAGTCATGAGGAGCATCAAGGTTAGGACATGGCTCATGATACTGATGAGAAAAAGAGTGAGAATGTGAGGGAATCTGGTGAGCAAAAAGAGAGTGAGGCAGAAGATAAGTTAGATGAACAAGTGGGGGATTCTGGAGAGGAAGAAAAAGATAGTGAGGAAGAAGGTGAGTTTGAGAGTGAAGGTGAGGAAGAAGAAAAGGGAAGTGAAAGTGAGAGTACTGAATGAGAGAGTGAGAAAGAGAATGCAAGTGGGGAATCTGAAGGCTCTATGGCTATTGGGAACACTGTCATAGTCCCTTCAGAAGAAGAAAGTGGAGAGAAAAAGATTGAAGAAACTTGGCCTCTGTTAACTCCTTTTACTGGAGATGAGAAGATCAGTAGTGATGAGGATGACTTACCCTTGTCTGAAGTAGGGAAGAAAAGAAAGAAGGCCCCTGTGAAAGCAACAAAGTCAGTTATCCTTACAAAGAAAGAAGTGGCTCCTCCTGCTAGGACTCCTCTCACAAGGAGTAAAAGAAAGGCGGTTGATAAACAGATCATTAAGGAGTCCATAGGTGCCAAGAAGCCAAGAAAGCAAGTTTTAGTTGTTGAACATGTAGTTGAGTTGGATAAAGAAGATGAGTCTGATTCTACTTTGCAAGAAAAGACATCAACACAAAAGAGGAATGTTGTTAAATCTACCAGGGAAGCTACCCCATCTAAGAAGGCCAGTAAAGGAAAGAAAAAGAAGGGTATGCATGTTGTGGTTGATAATCTTATTGAGATCAGGAACAGAAAAGTGTTAAATGGGAAAATTATTGCAAACAGTGATGAGAAAGGGATGGCTTAGTTAGTTGAAAAACTTGAGCTACAGGGATGGAGACACAAATTAGTTAAGGCATTCCCTCCTCTGTGTGTGCCTGGTGTGGTAGAGTTCTATGCAAAGTTCCAGTTTAATAGCAAAGTGGTCAAGAGTCTCTGTAAGGAGGGTTTGAGATGGAGTGTGATGCTAAAGAGCTTGGGATGCTACTGAATATTCCCTCCTTAGGTTTCAACAATTACTTGAAGAAAAAATGGCCAGCCATAGACAATGATGTGGACATAGGAATTATGGTCACAAGGAAGTTCTTTCAAAAGTTTGAGTTAGATGCTCCCCAGAAGGTATACAAGACTGATATGACTTATTTTCACAAGTTGATGTTTCACTTTGTGAACTCTTGCATATTGCAGAGATCTAAGAGGAGGCACTAGGCTACCCTTCTGGACATGACTATGATGGAACTAATTGATATTCGTAGAGCTATCAATCTCCCTAGCTTGATGATTCAGCACATGGCAAGGATTGCAGACACTTCCACGCCTAAGCATGCTATGCCTTATTGCTTCATGTTAACTGGGTTGTTTGACAAGCTCAATATTCCCTTGCCTGAGCCTAAGTTTGGAAACCACAATGATGTTCTGGATGTTTTACCCTCAAGAAGTGTGGCTGTGAGGAGATCAAGGCTAGGGGACCAACAGGTTCTGCTATTCTACATAGCAGCAGAGCTCACTAAAATGTTTGAGCTAGCTCTTGAGGTGAATGCCAAGCTTCGAGAAGACAATGATGAGTTGAGAAAAGAAACAAGACAGCTTAGGGAGGAGCTCAGAAGGGACAGAGAGGCTCAAGCCCAACAGATTGCTACCCTTGTAAAAGACTTGACCCCCTCTTTCTCTCACCCTTGACCCTGGTTCTTCACCTCATGGCTTCAACTTATTTTGTTAACCCAGTGGTGCTTTAGTTCTTGTTTCTTTTGTTCTAGTCCTGAGTACGTTACAGGATGCTTAGTTTATTTTGCTCTAATATTTTGAGTCAAGGCCCTGGGCTTAATTTGGCACTGCTAAGTGAATTCTCTTATAATGTTTTAATGCTTCGCACATCATCAGCTTAGTTTATTTGCTTTGATAATTTTTGAGCTTGTGCTGTAGCCTAAATGGCCATGAATCTTTCATTAACTGTGCTTAGTTTATCTAACATCTTTTTATTTTTTTTTATGATGCCAAAAGAGGGAAGATAGAGTTGGGGGTTGGTGTTGATGTGCATGTTTGTATGCTTATTGTACATATGTTGTACTTGCTCTGGTCAAAGTGTGGTGATACGAGGTTATGAGGTGATTACCTGGTTTTAATATGCATAAAGTTTGTCATCATCAAAAAGGGAGAATTTGTTGAGTATTGAGATTTTGATGATTAACAAAGTTTGCTCAGAAGAAATTCTTTAAGAACCAAGTCCTCAACGCAGCTGCTTAACTGCTCTAAGAACCATCTCTTCAAGGTTGATGATTGCACGTGCTTGCAAGACAGTAATTTTATCTCAAAGTTACCCAAGTCCGAGTTTGTTGGAAGAGGACTGCTAAACATGATAAGGGTTGTTGCCCAAGAAGATACATTTGCATCAGCGAGAGACAAGAGTTCCAAGAATTGTGGAGTCCTTGGAGCAGTAGGAGCCCTATCAAACGAGAAGCTGACTACGCATAGGACTCCTAAAAGATCTCGGAGACCAAGAAATTTAAATACTATCTTTTTGGACTACTGAGATCATCCTTTTATACATCAACTGAAGAACTACATTTTCTATACTCAAGTCGAGTACCAGTGTTGTGTTCTTCTTGAGTCAGTCTAGTAATTATGTTTAGAAAATCGAGTTGTAATCAAAGTGTCATATGCAATTAGTGAGTTGGAGTGAGTGTTTGATTTTGCAAGTTAGAGTAACTTGTAAGTCAAATAGTTGAAGTAGGAGAACTGGAGAGTATTGAATTACAGATTTGTAATTAATATATTTGGCTCATTGTTCTAGTGAAATTGAAGCTAAAATCCTACGTGGTAGGTCGTGGTTTTTGAACCTTTTGAGGCGGATGATTTTTCACGTAAAAATTATTGTGTTTATTTTTCTTTACGCTTAAGGAGTAAGGTAACGAATCAAGTTCTTTACTAATCCATAAAGGCACTCAAACTAATAGCAGCAGATTGACAGATGCTAAAGTATCTGGAATTTCACATTTACTCTGCGGTTACAAGATCGTGCATTAAATCAATTGTTATAAATCATTTAAATTGTCGGAAAAAATGAGTGTAATGGCAACGTGACACAAGAAAACGGCAACTTGGAATCTCCATTGTAAAAGCTAACACTTGTTCATTTGTAAAGACAATTCGCAATCACCACAATCACTGTTTACATTAGAAATTTTATTACTCTTTCATCTTTGGCAGTCTTACAAACTTTCTGTAATCAAATCCCAAGTACTCAATCCCCAAGCGACTAATGAATAATATCTCTCTTACCTTTCTCTGGTTTATAATTCATCGTCTTATCTTATATTTTATCCTAACTGTATAGTTATCACTTAGATTGAATCTATTGCTTTTAGCCCTCAATTATAAATTTAATTACATTATTCTAAATACCAAATTTTAGGTTAAACAACGATGTCCTTGTAACGTTCGTTTATTCCTCTTGACAAGACAATCATTGCGCGTTGCTTGCTTAAAGGTTAGAATTAATTTTAACTTCCAACTATACATTTGATAGACATAGTATCTAAATGTTAATCTCATGATTTTCATATTTTTGTTTTATCGAAATTGCTAAAGAATTAGTATTGGGGCAATAAATATTAGTATTCCATAAACATGGCATTTTGATTTCAAAAAGTGTTGCATAAGAGATAGGGAGGTTAATCCTACACCTAAGGTCACAGTAATATATCTTTTTTTATTGCAATTGCCTAATATATTTTGTTTCCAATCGTAACATTAAAAATCTACATCATGGTTGCGTTTCTGATAAGGTCTAACTCGACTTGTTAGGTTAAAATGCTGTGACCTTAATTCCTTGATTTAAAACTATCAGTCCAAGTTATCTCCAATCGACTGGTCACTGGCGTAGCCACCCTATGACGAGGGTAGTTAAGCGGACACCCTTCGCCGAAAAATTATACTTAATATATAAGTTTAAAATTATTTTATATTATTAAATATTATATTTTGAACATCCTTAACAAAGTTGAGTGAGGCAGTCCAGCAGTTTAGGGTATTCAAAGTGACGTGTGATTCACGAGTTCAATGTCTGCTCATTTTTTTTACCAAAACTAAAGGGAGACTACCATGTGCTGTCTATTTGCACTTTTTCAATTTAAAAAATTTTCTAATAAAATAACTCTTAAAACTTAAATTTTGTGTAGAAATAAACAGTAATTTTTTAACTAAAAGTTATTTCTTAAATATATTTTATAATTTGAAAGTCAAGCTCTATAAAATTTTCTTCAACAAAAACTCTCTATAAACTACAAATTCTCTTGACTCTCTCTCTCTATTTTGGTTTTATGCTTATTTTAATTAGTAAAATTTCTAATGTTGTCCTTTTGTTATATTAAGTTTGATTTATAAAACCATAGTTCTATTAAAAGATTTTTTTTATTTAGAGAAATGTTGCATAGTTTGATTTAAAACTTTTGGTACACCGTTCGTCGACTAAAACATTATTGACTTGTTTAAGGTTTGAACACTCTTAGCAGAATTCCTGGCTACGTTGCTGAGACCGGTAATTTGCTAACCCAAAAGAAATATGAGGAGAGAGAGAAAGAAAATGTACACTCCTAGCATATAGCTTAGCAATTATATCGAAAATTTTATATATTCTTCATATATTACATATGTATAAGTAACAATAACGTGTCGGAACATGTAACATCAAAAGAAAAGATGAATAGGGACTAAGCCTGAGGTGACAGCATACTTGTAATGTGGCAACTCGAATAGTCGTATTCATGCATGGATGTTTTATGTTTCTTCCTCCACAGAATCAAAAATCCAAGCCACACATGTGCTATGTATAGAGAAATTTATATTTAGTATACACAAGGACAGGTATATGTATATATTTTAAATATTTATACTTGTACTAAATCCAAACACATGATCTTATAAATAAAAAATAAAAATAAAAAGAAAAGGTATGCGGATGCAGATGTACTCATTACCTTCGGATCGAGCTACATATATATATATAAAAGAAAATTTTCAAAAAATATATGTTCATACTAAAAATATGATTCTATTTTTCACAAAAGAAATTAAATAGTCGGCTAAGTAATTGAACTGTCTAACATAAAATTCTGATCTGATACATTTCTTTCATTCAACAATGAGAAGCAGAGCTGTCCCTATATATCTTAATTGCAAGCATCCTGTTGTGTGTAATTTTATGAGACATCTAAAAGGATAGCTAGCTTATAGTGGTCCCTAGTCAAGGATTTTAGGGGATCTTTATCTACATTTCATGCATGAATATTGGCTCTTACATTGACCACCTCTCAAAAATTTGTAGGAACCACAAATTTTGAAATTAAGCTCTTGCATCCTCTTCAATTATGAAATGTTTGTTTTTCTTCTATGTCCCCCACAGCATGGGCTTGTGGTAGTAGTTGATTAACCATTAATTAATCCTTTTTACTTATATTAAATCATTCGTATTCTAAATCAGTAACTCGATTAATTTGGATTCGGGTTTTGGACGAGATCATTAAAGGGAAAAGCATTCTTTACTAGTTAGAATTAAATTTCTTCATTTTAGGAAGGTAAAGCCTGAGACCTCTAATTAAGAGTTGAGAGATCTTATTCATCACATCACACACCATTGGCAAAAACGAGATTCAATTCCTCCACTTGCTTTCAGTTCCCAATTTATATGTATAATTATTTATCCGAAAAACGGATAGAGTTGAATTTGTACGTAGTTCTAAGGGTATGTGGTATAACTTGACACAAATCATAAGAGTAAGTAGGAATATCGAATATTGACTATAAAGAAAA